AAAACTAAACATCAATCAGCAAGAAAGACAGCTTTCGAATTGAAGATGTCAGAATCAAACAAATACTGAATTTTACTATATGGAAAATGTTCGAACAGATTATAGAAATTGTGAAAACCAAAATTCAAAGGTGTGTTGGCATGGCAAAATATGTCTTCCAAAAGTTAAGCGAAGTATTAAGAAACGAGAAAATTAATAATAAACAAACAAAAAAATAAATTAAAAAAATAAACTTTTATATAATACCAATCATCCTATATGGAAGGTAATTCTGGACAATTTCTGTACAGATGAAAATAAGTCTTGAAGCAAGAGAGATGTGGCTCTACAGAAGGATGCTGAGAATACCATGAACTGAACATATAAGGAAAACGAACGCAGAAAGAGCCTCTATACTTTGAATTGGAAACAGTTAAAATTTCCGTAACAGATAATGAAGAAAGCTTGCAAAATTTAACACTCACTAGACAGATTGAAGACAAGTGGGACATTTTTTTTATATGCATTTCACCCCAAGCAAGGCTGGAGTGCCACTAGTACGCAAGGGGCTACAGAGAGTGAAAGTAAGGAGAAAAAAAACTGTGTTTAAGGAGGGAATTAAGGAAAGGAAGAGCAGAGAAGGAAAAAAAGAAGACCAGGGATCAAGGCGCCAGAAGATGTCGATTGACATTACATTTAAATTTATGAAGATTATAGTTATCAGGGAAGCAAGTAAGAGGAAGGGAGTTCCACTGTCGGGAAGTGCGTGAGAAGAAGCTGTTGAACTAGAAAAACAACGTTTAACATACCGAACAAGCTTGTGTAAATGAATGGTAGAACAGAGATTAGGTGGGATAAGGCAAATGTTACTGAGAGCTACAAAGGCTAAAAAGATGCGGAGATCTATGATCGTCCAGATACTGAAGAGACACGGTGCCTAGAAGAATTTTAATCTTGGTTGTGTATTTTATATGCAAAACAAAAAATCAATTTTGTAATTAGGAGGATTTTCATATACGTTTGTTTATTTCATGAATAATTAAAATTTGTAATCTCTAGGTTAAACTAATTGCATTACATGAATTTAATAAAAATAAGACAGCTGCAATAAATGCATCAATAATTAACTGAATGCAAAAAAAAAAAAAATGGGCTCAGCTATTAATAATAACAAAATTTTTCTTTCACCAATATGGCAGTGAAATCTGGAAAATTTCCTTAGAGGTGATAAAGAAACTAGAACCAATATAGGTTTGCTTCTACAGAAGTTTGAGAATACCATGGACCTAACATGTGAGCAACGAGGAAGTTTTAAGGAAAACGTTAAGAAAAAGGTCTCTTGTATGGAGATTTTTTAGCGTAGCTTAGAAATGGCACAAGGCCGAAAGTATGGGGTACTCAGTGATGATCGAACTCACTTCTTAGTCGTAACTGTTATAGCGAGACAATCTAGCTAACCGTTATACTACGTCGAGGGGGCCGAAAACGGCCACTTGTAATTAAAGTCAGAAAAAAATTGAAATTTCCGACACACATAATGAGGAAAGGTTTGGAGAATTTGACACATTGAAGATAGGCGATACAAAAGGAAATACGAAGTAATCTACTTAATGCAGTCATGAGCAAACTGCAGCCCAATTGTCACACTGAATAACACGAATAATTTCATTAGAGAAATAACGTTATTAAAATGTTATTGGTGTCCTTTCGTTCTCACTTGTTCACTGATGCATAGACACATACATAAACAATGTTTAAGTACAACGTGTCTTGAATTTTGTAACATTTCGTTGAAAGTAACATTTTCAGCATTCTAAACCATTGGTGATTTTCACTATGGAAGATCATAAGTGTAAACAACTTTTGCTTCAGAAACCGGAAACGTTAATGATAATTATTTTTCTCTAGAGAATAGATATACTTATTTAAAAAAAAACAATCATCAAATGAATAAATTAGAAACAAATCATATACAGGCGTGTGTGTGTTAATAACTCTATCATCAGTGATGATGATATATCAGAATTTCTTTTTTTTTTTTAAATTATAGAATCTTTTTTCTAAAGAAAAAAAATCAACTTTTTTTCCATTTCTTAGGCAGATGCTTATGTGCATGCTCCTTTTGGGGGGGTGGGGGGATAGACGCGGTGTCTGTAATGAAAAAAAAAATTTAGTTGTGTAGCCCACCTTATGATGAACCGTGCAACTGTTCGAAAAATGTTGCCCATACCTGACCTAATGAATTAATGTTAAGGCAGGGACTGGGAGGGATAGTAAAGGAACAAATATTGCTAAAATGGATAGGAAGTTGTGGAGAGTTGTGATCTCCGTGAAGGAACATGGAACATAAAAGAGACGAAATTCTGAGACAGCCGATCTGTGTATATCTACAGAGAAACGTTGCTGAACTCATAAACAAGTGTATCTGTACACATTTGTCTATAGATTGATGTCTAGTAAAGAAAGTCCAAGTGTGACGTACGGAAGTGCTAGATAAATGTAGCATATTTTCTGCGCGTGACTTCTAACCATGAATTCAGTGTCAGATGTCTAAGCAGCGTAATTTTCACTGCCAAAACGTGAGAAAGGTCAAAGCTCGTAGCGGTTATTGTCTACTTGAAGGATCTATTTATACTGAAAATGTGGATAATTGAAGTCTTCGATTGATATGCGCGGGAAGGATTCTGAATGTTGAGAAAAGGTTCTTAGCTGATAAACGGAAATATGCATCAAGTTTATGCGTAGAAGACGCGTTTTAGCCATTCGTTAAATGTCCGTTGAGATGTGCACTTCCGGTATCGCTACAAGTATGTTGGTTAGTAAAACAAAATCTTCGAAATACCTTACTAAAACAGTGGGGAAATTGGATATTTTCTGTTAATTCGCCCCAAAATAAATAAGAATTTATATTTACTTAAATTTACACCAAATTCTCCCAGAGCGAGGTCCTTCCACTGCACTCCAGTTGGGTTGATCTTTGTGATCGCCGCCACAAATATGGGTTTCGGGTGCGCTGTTTCTAAGTGTCGGGGTCTACGTTCATGGTCACTCCGATTAACAAACCAAAAACAATTTTTTTTAATTGTACAAACTTCCTTCTAAGCACCTCGAATATCATCTGCACTTATGAAATGTCAATAACTTCCTGATATTTGATAATTTTTCATACTGAGAGTTGGAGTTATTGCGAGGCAAGGTAAAAAAAAAATTGATTTAAAATTTATAATTTCTTGGGGCGAATTAATATTTACGATAAATGACTTTACACTATTTGGGGTGAATTAACAAAAGAAAAAAAATCCGGAAAATTTAATATCTCAGAAAATAAAATGAACAAAAAAAGTTTTAAAATTTGAGTGACGATCGACAGAGTTTTGTGCTTCAGATTTTCTTCAAGAGAAACGAAACTAAATGTCATATTCTTTGTCTCATCCAATCACAGTGATATCGAACGATACAAGGATACATGGTAAATAGGTACAATTCTTCTTAAGCATTAAACATTATCTTTCGATTCCCTCTTAAATCATTAAACGGCGGGCACCATCAATTAATTTTCATTGGAGACCAGCGGCTATCACCAATTAACGGTTTAAACATTTTCCAACAATACGGGCATCATTCATTCACGATTTGAGCCTAAATGACTGAATAGCAATTCAAGGATTCATGCGGTTATATCATTTCCTGAAGCATTTGCCAGCAAATAAACCTAGAAGAACAAGCCAAAGACAGCGCTGTCTTGGCATGCATACTTCTAGAAGAGAAAAGAGACGAAAAATGGCGACAACTTAGTGCAAAGTATGTGCATAAAATTCTTCAGAGTATCATACTTACTTACATTGTTCGGACTGTTGTCCTCATTTTTGTTCCCATATTCACGACGTTTGTAAGCTCCAGGCTTTTTTTCGGGTGATTGAAATTTCGAACCAAACCCTTTATTTCGTCCACCGGTAGAATTCCACGTACCATGCCTCTTTCGGATATCTCAGTATCAGTTACTCCCCTTTAACTCAACTCTACAAGTTTTTGTTCACCTCTACTGGAGCCAGGTATTGAACTCACAACTCTTGGGGTCAAATCACTGAATAACTTCAACCAACGTTTTTAACCACTGATCTATGTGCCCAGTCACCTGTAGAGTGTACGACGGCCGAAACATTGTGAATATGGCAACAAAGATGAGGACAACAATCCGAACAATGTAAATAGTGTAAATAAGTTTGATACAGCATCTCAGAAATATAGACTGAGTATCAGACTGATAAAAATATTAAATATACAAACCTAACATCTGGTTTATTTCCCTTTTTATCATCTAAAACAGCATTTGTTTTTTAGTTTTTGTGCATAATTAAAACGAAAATAAGTATAAAGCTACTATTTTTTAAAAAAATAATTTTTTTCGTTTTCAACACGTTTAACGTCTACGTTTGTACAACCATTTCTTGCCTTTTAAGAGTTAACTCGTTATACTGAAAAGTGCCGATTTGAGTGTAAATTAACAAACAAAAGCTTCCTCAAGACTTGAACTCGTAATGTCTGAATCGACATGAGCTGAGAATCAACATCTTTATCTGATTAACTTTCGCATCCAATACTTGTAGCTATTTTTGTTGATGGTAATCGTAGAGATCTTGCCCGTCAGCGTTGTTGTGATGCTAGCAACAAAAAAAAAAAAAAAATGATCACAAGTGTCCACTTCATTTTCAAACGATCGACACTTGAAGAAATCAGACGACAAAGTGACGGTAACGAATTCGTGGAGAAAGTAAAATAATAATAATAATATGAATAACACGACGACGCTGCGCTGACACGGCTCGATCGACTAAATATTAGCATTTATCGGATATATAAGTAAAAGAAAAATTTCCGTGTCTGACGTACGCCGCCCGCCGTCGGCGTCATCACTGCTCCAATGCCGCCAAACTTCCCCCAGAACATCTCAGTCCTAATTTTTTTTTTTTTATTTATCTCCTCTTTACTCTTCGGCTTTTTTCCCTCTCCATTTCTTTCAGACCGGTTTCTGTTTTCCCGCCAAAGCGGTATTTGATTCTTCTGGTTTGCGTTTCTCTCCGAACGCCGCCCGATTTCTTCGTTCACTCTCCTCCTCCATCTTCTTGATCCAGTCATCCACTTGTCCGTGTCTGCTGCCATGACAACGGAGGGAAACATCTGCAAAAGATGTATTGGCAGATAAGCAGGTTGTTGCCGCTTCAAATGTCTCCGATTTTCGATTTTGCCAACATCGAAAATATTCGATCACCAGCCATCGGCCCTTCACATACAACGCCAATCCCACCATATTCTTGCCTTTTCCACCCTAATTTCTGTCGCTTTCTGTGTTGTTGCCTCTTTGATTCATACTATTTGAATCTGTTTCTTCCGGATTGTATAATCTTTCTTTCTCAGTCATATTGTCTTTTTATATTATGCCATTCTTTGTCTTTTTCAGCTCTCTGTTTGTTTCACCGTAATTTATATATATATATATATATATAGTGCCTGTGTTTAAAAGAGAGAGAGAGGGGGGGGAGTAGTAGTAAAATTTGTACGAAATCTAACGAAGCGGAAAATATATAAAGACAAAATGGAAAAAATCTAACTCGACATGTTTCGGATTACAGGCGAAAAATGTTAATTTAAAATTTTTCAAAACTATATATAGGAGAAACAGTTCTGAAAAATTTTAAATGTATACATAGGTGTACGTATATGTGTGCGAGTATATATATATATATATATATATATATGTGTGTGTGTGTGTATATGTGTGTGGGCGTGTATATATATATATATACATACACTCACACACATATACATACATATATATACACACTCACACGCATATACATACATATATATATATATATATATATATATATATATATAGATAGATAGATAGATAGATAGATAGATATATTATAAATTGATTTATTTAAAATATGGTTTTTTCGCTACACAGTTCTAACCATGTTTCAAAAATGGAAGCTAAAAGCCACGAATTTAATTTTGCAATTAAAATAAAGACATTAGTTCCATTTCATCCTCAAGCGAATTTTAAAGTAACTTTTAAAATTACTGGGTTTTAAAGACACAGCTAAAATCATAATTCACGTTTCCAAGGTTACAGATAAATCTACTTCAACTGGACAAGGGGTGTCTGAGTGTTCATATATATATATATATATATATATATATATATATATGATATCATAAAAAGCGAGTGAGGAAGAAAAAGTTATTGGTGGTATTCTAGAACAACGAGTACGGGTGCATCTCTAAAACTCTCGCTGGTCAGTGATTGGAGACTGAACTCTTTTTTTTGATCTGGCACAAGCTACCTAGTGGAGTAAAAACTGGCTTGTTATATTCAATGCCTCGAAGACCAAGCTAGTTACGTTCCATCATCGGTGATCTGACCCCGAACTACCATCAATCATGATGAACGGAAGTCCTCTCGGGGAAACACCGTGCCTCGAAAAGTTGGCATCGGACATCAGGTGGATCTCGGACATACGATCCATGGCTAAGGATGCAAGTGTTAGGTTGGTGCAAAAATAATGACGTAATAATGTCGTTTTTTGACGTTAAAACGACATTATTACGCCATTATTTTTGCACCAACCTAATAAAACGGTTTGCTACCTTTACCGCTACAGTAGGTAATTGATCCCCCACCCCACCCATCTTTACAAGATCAGGCCAAAAATGGAGTACTGTTGTCATATTTCGGGGGAAAACTGTCCTGACTGGACTCTCTAGCCTTGATAGAGTTCAAAAGCGTTTTTAGCCCTTGTGGGTGACAAACTATTCTCCAACCTCTCTCCTACAGGCGGGATGTGGCAAGCCACTCGCTGCTCTACCGTTACTTCCACGCAAAGTGCTCGGACGAACTACATTCCCTGGTCCGCCGAGGCATACTTTCCCAGCAAGAACACGCTATGTCACTCAGATAGTAGCAAACCACCCACATTCCCCCAGTATTCCGTCGGTGAGAAGTAACTTCCACTCGAACAGCCGCGAAGCACTGCCATGTGGAACCGACTCCCAACAAGATGTTTCGCCGATCTTAACTTGTTCAAGGGTGGGATAAACCGTTGTCTTCCACTCCTATACACACAAATGGCCTCCAACGTCTACCTAGAGTTACCCCGGGCCTTGTAAAGGGGGAACCCCCGCTGTAAAACAAACAAAAGAAAAAAAGAAAAAGAGGCTGGAAGATAACAGGAAAGAGAGAAAGAAAAATAATGTGTATTTTTTTCTATCTACAATTGATGAAGCTGCAAAGTTTTTGATCCGACCAACTTCCGAAAGTCTGATTTCAGAAAAGCTTCTTGGTCTTGTTCAAATTTTTCCAGCACTCCCCTGTGGGCGTGCGCGCGTATTTTTTATATCATTGTATTAGTGTGCGTGTGTGTGCGTGTAGCTTTATTCGAATTTTCACTATTTGTTTACGTTCTTTTTCTTTTTTTTTTTTTTCGTCTGATTCTTTTTTATTTTCCCATTTTTATCCCTTCTTTACTTTCTCCGCTACTTCCGTTTGATCGAATCTTTATTATCTTTCATTCTTTCATCCTTTTATTCTCTCTTCATCTCCTAACCCTACTCGTTCTCCGTCTTTCCATCTTTAATTTCCCTGTTTGATTCTATCTACCACACTTCTATCTTTTCCACTACCTGTATCTATCTCTGCGTTTCATCCTATCTTTACTCAGCACTACCTCCTCAAGGCACTTGATGTAGTTGAGTCTGGGGCCCTCATCAACGAATTCGGGAGTTCTCCTTCTTTTTCTCACAGACGGTGCCCAACTGACCCTACTGTACTGTGCAGTCAACAAAATCAAAAACAAATAACATGCATGCACAAAATTAAAAATATAAAGTGGCGACAATTTATCCATCGCACACTGCATATACTCTTATACGTATTACTCAGTAATCTCTTGTGTCTTAGTGGCTTTATTGCCCTTGGGAAATGTATGAAGAATATCAGAATATCATGAATTCTATTTTTCTTCTGAACACAAAATGAGATCCTTAAAATCTATTTCTGTCGCAGGCAATCTTTTTCCGTTCATTATTCTCATCAAAATCCTGTAACCTTTCTTCCTCATTCTCTCTTTATGTCACGCATGGCGTCTCATTATCTCCCCCCGACCTCTATCTTTTGTATTACCATGTCTTTCTTGCTTTCTGTTAGTTTCAATTTCTCTCTGTCTGCGTTAGGCTTTTTTCTTCTACTTCCGCTTTTTTTTTCCTCCGTTTTCTTTTTAGTTCATTCCAATCTGCTCTCTCTCATGTCTTTAATTCACACTATTTCTCATTCTACTTGTTTCTTTCTCTCTTTCACTCAATCTTTTCGTCTCTCCTCGTCTTACTATTCCTTTTTTCCTCTCTATATACCCCCTCTCTTATTATTCTCATTGTTTTAACATCTCTTGCGTTCACTTTACTTCCGTTTGGCTTTCTCACATTGATGTTAACAACGAAAAGCGTCCCTCTTTTGTCTCCTTCACTTCGTGCCTCGTTCTCAGTTCCTGACATTCCTTCTTCAGCCTGTGTGGGTGTTTCCCAAACGTTGTCTCCCTATCCGTTTCACTGTTTTCTTTTATTACCTTATTTAATCAATTCTACATTCTATCTTTTAGTCTCACCTTCCACCTTTTTTTTTTTTTTTTTTTCACACTTACTCACTATCTATTGTTTCCATTTTATCGTTCTCTAGATTACCCCCGCCTTCTCATAATCATTAATTTTTCCCCATCTCTCGATTTCCTTCCGGATCAGTTTTCCATTTTCTGGTGATAATCTTAACTCTCACCCTCTCTCTCATCTTCTCTCTATTGCTCCCTCTAATGAGATCTTTGCATCTATCGCTCATCCAGTCATCTTTTTATATAAAATTCTCTATAAATTTACAAGATAAGCCAGTGTAGCCGTGACTTTTTACAAGAAGCAAACTTGCAGTCATTAGTGCACGTGCTCACGAACACACATACACACACACACAAAAAAAGAGTAAACGGTGAAAAAATATAACAGACTGACAGGTAATCTATACGCGATTTCGATATTATATTTTCTAAATAAAAGTTGCAAATTCACACAAATGCGAATAACTTAATAAGATGGATACTGTATATATTCTGTATTATAGATATATAAAATTATATCGTATTCTATCTGTCACATAACCTTATCTCTTTTATTAATGAGTTATTCCCGTTATGATAACAACAAGTATTATTGGAAGCCAATAAGAAAAATCAACCGACCCAGACCGCTAAGAAACAAGGGCAGTGTCACCAAACACACTTTCGAGCCACATATCCTGTCGCACATAATCTCGTGACAATATCACACACTCAATGATGCACCGGACTGTGGAGACCAACCAGCGGCCACACAATACCAAGGAATCGTTGAAGGCCACCATCATGGACATGATGACTAGCAAGTATGTCCACTACCTAATGCAGATGTCTCTGAGGCCGTGTTCGGATCAAGGCCGTGGAAGGTTATATTGAATAACTTGTTCTTTTTTCTATATTGAAAATAATAATAATAATAATAATAATTTTTTTGTATCTCCTTGAGGCATGGACTTCCAGGAATCCCTTCAATTAGTCTACTGCAATCTTTTCCAACCAGTCCTAGGGCTCCAACTCTGACAAGTACAGCCCACACTTTACGAAGGGCTTTATCTATGTAATTTTTTTTTTTTTTTTTTTTTTTGTCAGTGGAAAGTGTCATGATGCTATTTCTAACCTTAGGTCCCTGGGCGGGACCCGGAAAGAAATGTGTAAACGCCAGAAATCAAAGATAATAATAATAATAATGTCGATGGATGCATGGTTACGTCAGTGTCACATGCGGTTTTGAATTCAAAGTCTTCCTCCTCCAAGATTGGTTGCAAACCACGGCTAAAGTGCCCAGTCTGCGCAGTTGTCTGTTTTTAAGAATAATTAGATAATACACATTTTTCTTTTCCCCTCGATACAAAATCTCCTCTTTTTGGTGCTTATATATCTTAAAATGACACAATTTATTTTTCTTAGTAAATCTGGATTTTGTTTAGTTTTTGTCATTTTAAACAATATTCCCTCCCAATCCACCCCTGAATACAATAAAACTTATGATAAACACGTCACAATTTCGAACAAATTGCATAATTACACAATAAAAAATCACCTGCCAATAAGAAATCAACTCTGTTTATTTACGACTGACAATTGTCGTAAATATTGACATTTCCCGATTCCTGGATATGGTCTTATCGGCACACCCCCTCCTACCATCATCGTTTGCCTCGAACCTTTTCTTTTTCTCTCCTTTCGTCGTCGTTGCTACCCTGTGAGCAACGACCCAACACTTTTGATGCTAAGGCACATGACCGTTTTGGAACGAACATCCATTCAAAGTTCTTTGGACGGTTGGCATTTTTTCGCCAGTCAAACGGCCACGTGACTCATCGGATAACCGCCAAAAAGTATCCACGAGTAAGAGACGACCTGCGGGCATCACGTCGGGGTCACCAATCTATAGGAGGAGCCTGGTTGCCTAGTGCGGTTTCTTGCGAATGGCCTTGTGTCAGACTACCAAACTTCTCCGTATAAGAGTATTTTGATACTCCCTTAGAACATCAATGGTTCATGACAAGTTAGCAATGTAAAAAGTGGACAAATACCATTAGATAAGAAAAGGCATAACAAGACCTTACGTGTTGAACATATTTAGTAAGTCGGTTTTTACCAGGTTCGATATCAAGTTCAAACCGCGATTTCTTTCATTTTTTTTTTTTCTCATATTTCACTAATAGCTGAGGAGTGAATTCTACGAGTTCAGAGTTTTCCTTCTACAAGACCGATTGCCAAAAAAGGCTGTCCTGCTATTTTGCCACTAGTTTGGGACGAGGCGGAGTGAAAGAAGGAATGAATTAATGCAGCAGCGTTCTATTAGGCTAGCATCTCGTTTCCACCCTTTCACTGTCGAAACTGTTAAATGTAGCCGTCTCTTCTACTCCAATAGCTTCATGTCTCGCACTTCTCGCCTGTGGAAATCCCTCCCCTTTTCCTGTTTCCCTGATAGCTATAATCTCCAACTATTCAAATGTAATGTCAATCGACGTCGCCAGATACCTTCATCTATCCACTATGCTTCTCCTCATCCTTTCCTCTGTCACTCCTCTTTGCTCTCGCTTCAACTCTCGGTAACCCGTCGCGTGCTAGTGGCTTCCCGCCTTGCTTGGGGTGAAACGCTTAAAAAAAAAAAAAAAAAAAAAAAGAGAGCATAGATAGAGAGTGTGACGCCCGGGGCAGCTCTTGACGTTGACGCCCCCACCCCCAGGTCCCAACAAAAAATACATATTGCACAGTGAGTGACTCTAAAAGTTATAAAACTAGTTTGTGTACCATTATAATATTACTTTCACAAACTAAAAACAGTCTACTTCAGTAACAGTTAAAAAAGCTAAAATGACATATAGGGGGAAAATGTAAAAAATTAGGACCATCTTTATTTCTAAAATAAAAATTACAACTTTCTACAAAGTAACTTTTCTTGCTTTTTTGTTGGTAAATTTTTAAATAATATTATCAAAAACTATTTCATCTGTCAATTGTCGCTCTATACCAGCGTTTGTGAACCTTTTTACCCTTGCGTAACCCTTAAAATAAATTACGTCTCAAGGAATCCGTGCGCAAAAACAAAAATTATATACCGTATCTTTCTCATTTTATTTTCATCGTAGTTCACGTGGTAAATATCATAGGATATATTTTTGAATAACTGATTTAAGGAAAAATTAATAGTTCTTTATCAAATTTCTCGGTAATGCTAAATAAAATTCATACTGTTCGTTTATAATACTTCATTGGGGACTTTTCATTCACACAAAAATATCTAAACTCAGATGTAAAAAATAAACACAAGTAACCAATATCATATACCTTATAATATATAAATGTAAACAGAACAAAAACAGGTAATTGCTGCTGGTTTTTTTTTATCCTTCACTATAAACAGTATATTAATATATTTTTTCATAGTAGGTTAGATAGGATGATGTCTATATTACAATAACCAAGAATATATTGTGTGTGTTTAGTAATATTTTTTTAATGCCATGCATGATACACGCGTAGGCGATCATGTATCTTTCGATATATGACTGACGAGGGATATTTTTCCCGGAGTAGGTTGCCATTTCTTTCTGCGGTAGACCAGTTGCTATCTAAGCCGGGGGCAGGGGTGGAGAAGAAGAGGATTCATACCTTTCCCAAGGGTATTTGCACGTAACTGAATTAATTCATTCGACTGGAATTCGAACTCGAACTCGGCTCTCCGATTCCTCAATCCGAGCTGCTATCCATTACTCCACCCAGTACATTAGCTTATCTCAGCTGTTCTCACGGAACCCTTGGAGACATTTTGCGGAACCTCAGGGTTCCGGGGAACACTGGTGGAGAAATGCTGCTCTAGATACTAGGTAGGCCAAGATATATGTCATAGTTTATGTTACTCGAAATCAAAAGTTTCCTTCAACTGTGAGTACTGTACCGACATTAAAACCACTTTTATTTCAATACACTGCAGCCTATATAGGCTACAGTAGACACAAAAAAGTGCCACCTCCATAAAAGTACCACCCGGAGTAGACTCCCCACCGCACACCTCCTTTAGCTCCTGGATTAATTTCTTTTTTATGTATCATGTCTTTTCAAGATGTAGGTGATCATGGCTCTCCATCTCCCTCTATCCCTTGCAGCTCTCAACAAGTTCCTTTCCTCTGCCACCTCTCTCAGACCACGTTCTGTCGTTCACTTGCTTAAGCCCGCTAGGTATGTCATGCATTGTTTTCCTTTGTCTCTCTTTCCCTATGTTTGACCCATGAGTATCAGATTCTCCAACCCCTCCTTCCTCATTATGTGTCCTAGAAATTTCAGTTGCCTCCTCCTGATGTTAAGTATAAGCCTCCTCCTTCTTTGCATCCTCTCTAAGACCTCATAGTTGCTCACACGCTCGGGCCATGATATACTTAGCATCCTTCTGTAGAACCACATCTCCATTGCCTCGTGTCTCTTCATCTTTGAGGAAATCGTCCAAGATTCGCTGCCGTAAAGAAGGACAGACGTCACGTAACAGCTCAGTATTCTTTTCTTTGTTACCAAAGAAATACCATTTCCCAAATCATAAGTGCGACGTAAAACTGTTTAAAACCAGAATTTGAATTCGTCTAGCAAATTGCATTTTCTATTAAGTCACAAGCTTCTCTATTTGACTTAATCTGTCGTATTGCGCCTCAGTCAATGCGACCAGAAAAGAAATAAATAAACTAAAATTTTTAAGTTTGAGTTCTTTTTTTTATTAAGCACTCCACATCACGAATTTTCAAAAATATTTATTATCTTTTAAGTAATCACGTTGTATGAGC